TATATAGAGTCAATCAAGACCGACGTCAGTGCGGGATTGAGGGGATTGGTTTGGGGAGAGTCGAGAGCGTGAGAAGGAAGTGAAGAAAGCTGGGACTACAAAGAAAATTAAGTTGCCTATCCATAGGTATTGCAGGCGATGTTTAAGGCATTCATTTTGATTTTTTCTAACAGAAGAAAAAGAAAACAACGCGTATGTGTGTTAGTTGTAGTAGTGTATTTGGTCAATTTAGTATTAGTGTAGTGTAAAAGTACTGAAAGTTATGGCGTAGCTTATGATTCACTTTTAAAGTTCTTTTAATTCTGGATTTTGTTTCTCTGTCATTTCTCTGTATTTCCGCGTGCTATAATTATTAGTCTCGATTCCTCTGTTATCTCGCACGTCGTGCTCGTCATTATGTGTCAACGTTAATTTTGAAATAAGTCTCAAAAATGGTCGACAATGAACTGTTTACTTCACGTATTAGGTGCGGATTTTCGTGCTTATCTACAAAATGATGTCAACATTATTAGGTGATGGGTGAGTAATACATTTGTCACTCAAGATTATTATATTATCAGTAAGGCGACGTGCTTGTTCACGGCTTCCTCTTTTCCAAGCCCAAGTTGCAGTTACCCAGTCTAATCATGAATCTCAAGTGCAAATGCCCCCCAGCAGAGAAATTGTGATCAGTTGACAGCATTATCTACTCATTCAGCTTTCCTTTCCATGCCCTCCTAACTCATCCCTAGCATTTTTTCAATCAGTTTCATGCATTCTCCCTCAAAGTATCGAGGTCATGATTTAGATGTTGGGATCCTCCTAGCAAAGCGCTCTCACAGTAAAACCATCCTATGTTTGGTTATGTATCCGTCTCTACTTTAGTAAGTACTCTATTTCTAGAATCTTATGGACATCGCATTTTGTATAACAGTCAGTAAGAATGTGAGATGGGACGTCAAGCAGTCTAACCATGAACTACCCTTTTTTGCTTGATGTCAAGTGAGTGAAATTCACTTACTTAGTGCCCTCTTGCAACCCTTAGAAACCCCTCGCGGTAATTTATGTCTCACTCCAACTGATCCTTCTTGGATAAAACGCACTCAATACACCAATCAAAATTTTAGAGGTACCTTTGACTTAAAAGCTCCAGTACCTGATATTTTATTGAGGACGAATATGAGAATGCAAGTTTAATTATTCTGCTTCCATGAGTAGTTATTATCATCTTTTGTGTGTCAAATAATTTTCTTGTGAAAGTGTGATTTGTGTTTGAATGTCCTCAATATCATTTTATATCATTATTAGACAGCTAGTATCTGCCAAGGAGAAATAATTAAGTAGTGTATGTAAGCAAAAATTTTACTGCATAGAAAAAGTGTAATTACTCTAGAAGAACACAGACTTTGAAAAGTTGGCAAGGATGCACTAAAAACAAGCACCAGGTACCCACAGTTATAGAAATTCAACATTTTTGTGATAAATTTAAAGGAAGACATTTGGAGGTTTATTATATTCATACATAATTTTTTATAATTTTCCCGGAAAATCGCAGTTTGATTCTGCGTTTTTCAGCCCACTCCTCAGTTTCTAGAACCCCTTTCTTCCATTTTTTAAATCTGGGTTTCTGTTTTCATATTTCATGTTTTATCTTAACTATTTTGTATTTAAATTTGTTTTAGAATGTGAGGATAAAGCTAAAATACAAAGTGAAATGGTTGCTAGTCTGCAATCTAGGCGCAAGGCTCTCGAGTCCAAAATTCGCGAAAAGAACGATGAGCTCAAAAATTTGTGCATTCAAGAGGCAGAACTCACTGGTGTCCTTCCTCCTGAAATACCTCTGGAGCCAGGTGAAAGTCCACCCGCATTTCGGAGGCGTATGGGGACAGCCTTTGTCATCCCTGAAAATCTGATCAACAAATTAAAATCCAAAGAGGTATGGACATAAGTAATATTTTTTTCTGAGTCAGAAGTACATACCCTGAAATGAGCACCAAAGTAAAATAATCATAAGCTCTGAAGTGTAATCGATAATATTAATTGGCCTAAATTGAGCCTCTTGTAGCTCAGACTTCATTTTCAAGCACCATGATAGTGCAATATAATTTTATGATTTTTTCCTACCCACTTTTTAGAAAGCTCCTATCCTTCCTTTTCAACAAATTTTTGTCTTAGATTATGGATGAATTTTTTTGGTTGAAAGTATATTGTTTCTGGCACTTTCAGCTCTTCAGTCTATAGAAATTTACAAAAATATGGTAATTCCGTCACTGTTAGTCACACTTGAAGTGTGTTCTTCTTTGACAAGTTTACAACAAAATAAGATTTAAGTAGTTTTGATTAGATCACAGATTTTTGTATTGTTTTCAGAAAGATGTGCTTTTAAGTAACTCTCAGTGGTATGAATTAATTTTGGATTTCACATTCTGGGGGATACTAATCTATTTTGTAGCTTGCATAAAAATCATAGAGCACCAAATATTTTCAACATTTTAAATTTTTGGGAATCAGATATTCAAACAAAGAAATAACTACTAAAAGATTCAATTTTTAAAAACCCCCCAGAAAATGTTGTTATGAATTTGTAATGCTATGCCATAGAGGGTTGTGCCAAAAAGCTGTTTTAATCCTAATTTTACAATATATATTACATGTATTTTGAAAAATAATTATGCTAGTAATACGCAGTAGAATGCAAATTTTACTGTGGCGTTGATGATTGTTGTAGCATAGGGAAGTCTAAGTAAAAGCTTAGAAAAAGTCAGGAATTTACTTCAGAATTTGGGAAAATAATAATTTTTCTTCCAGTGAACTAATACTGAAAACCGCATTCCAAGCAATCTTATTTATCGACGCGGTAAGTTGGCAATCACATAACTTGTTTTCAGTGTCTGAAAATCTTCGCCTCTATGTTATTTTTTTAAAGGAGAACAAATTGACATCATTCCTTGAAGTTTTTGCAGAATTTTCTTTGCACAGAGAAGAAAAATCACAGCAGTTTTGAAGAATGGGCCTGTTGCAAACTTTTGCTAGAGCAAAAATAAGAGTTGTTTCTTATAGATAATGCCTCAAAAATCACGATGAGCGCATCGGCAAACTCTGAAATGGACTCCTAACTTCACAATCTGCGTAAGAAATTTGCGTTTTTTTAAGCTTCCCGCTTCAAAAACGATACTACGGCATAGGTGAACATTTTGTTAGAGGAGTCGCTCCATCGTCGGCGATATTCATCATGGCCGACGCTTGCACGCAGTTCCGCGCGTAATTCAAGGAGAGTTCAAGGTCAATCAATTCGGGCGTGGAAAATATGAACGTTAACACACCGATTGTTATCTGGTCTAATCCAGTTCAGGTGTTATCTCGTCCCATCAAACGTGTTTTGGCGGATTGGCGTCGGCTATGATGATTATTGCCGACAATGGAACGACTCCTCTTACAAAATGTTCACCTGTGCCGTAGTATCATTTTTGAAGCGGGAAGCTCAAAAAACCGCAAATTTCTTACGCAGTTTGTGAAGTTATGAGTGCATTTCAGAGTTTGCCGATGCGCTCATCGTGATTTTTGAGGCATTATCTACAAGGAACAACTCTTAGTTTTGCACTAGCAAAAGTTTGCAACAGGCCCATTGCTGTCGAGTAGTTTTCCGTTAAAAAAATAAAGTATGATAGGAAGTCTGCAACGTTGCAAACCGAGTCATGGGATTCCCGACTTACACCGTTGATATGCGCCCACTATCAATGCTTTGTATAATGATACGCTTTAATAATCTGGAAATTGGTCAATTTTCCGAAACTTTAGTCTGACTTATTTTTTATTACATTTATAGCAAAATTTCAAATTCTGATACCACATTTAAAAATCTTGAACTAGGAAATTATTACAAACATTTTAAGATTCTCATCCCCTTGTAGACTCTTTTTATTTCATGAGGAGTATTTTTAATATCTGAAATAGAAGGATATTTTTACAAACCCCTTTACCAAATTTATACTACAAAGTTCAAGAGGAAAGGCTTTAACAGGAAGGGGGAAAGTTCCTTGGCACAAGTTCATATTAGGAAGAGTTATTATCACCACCCTCTAAGACTTCCCTGACTTTTTCCCAAGTAAACTCGAAATACTATAGTATTAGTACAGTATTTAAACTGACATGACCCTTTTATCAGGATTTAATTTTGTTTAATTTTAGCGATTGGTGCGAGGACCCCGATAACGCTCTCTTTGGGATGAAGGCTTCTCTGACATGAAAAAAGAGTGGCTATAAATGCATCAAAGTACCCATAAATTCCTCTTTGGACTTTATTGACCGTTTATTTATTTATTTATTCCCCACATTTACTTAATGTTTTTTCTGTATGTAGGAAGAGTCGTTAGCCAACTTAGAGCTAGAGTGTAAAATTCAAACTAGCATCGCTGAAGCAGCATTGGGCCTAGCAAATGATGGGAGTGTGAGCAAGTCTGTGAGACGGAAACACAGACTCATGTATCAGCAAAGTCAAAGACATTTGCATGAATTGGAAGCAAGATTAAATGCTCTTCGTCAAAATAGTAGGAGTCATCCAAAGCAAAGGAAAAAACCAAGACCGCCATTAGAATCTGGTATAGTATCCCTCAAACTCAAATGTAGTTCAAGTCAATTTGATAAAGCATATGAAATTTTTTAAAAAAGCAGAAATATACTATAGTACCAAGATCATGCCAAACTGGAAAAAGCCCATTCTCAATTCGGGCAAAATTATTCCACATTTTTGTCCAATGAGCGTAATTATTTTTGAGGCTGACAAGATTCATGGTGCGCTCCAAGTGTTTCCAGTGAAAATGACTTCTTCATAGCTTCTAGTTACACCTCTCAGCAGTAGAATTCGGAAATTTGAACCGTTGCCAAGTCACAGCAAGATTTCCTTTTTTTTAGTCCCCCTTGTAATTTTATAATTTTATCATGTACTGAATTGAGCTATCTTTCAGTGGTCCATGTAAAAAATGGAATTATATTGACTCCAACTTTGTCTCGCACAGCAATGCCATTAGCAAAGAAATCCACTGAAAGGAACTTTGTCCCATGCATGGATGATCCTCTTTTATCCCCCAACTTGGAATATGTGTAAAACGTCCATAAGAAATGAAGCTCCTGTTAACTGCCGCCATGGAGCACTGGTATCACCTAACAACTGTCAGTGCATGAATCAGTGCAAAGTTAATGATTCAATCTTAAGGCTGCCCTCAACTAGAGCTACAGCCAAAAAATCAAAAGAAGAAGAAGAATCTTGAGGTCAGCGTTTTGGTGGAAAAACGGTATATCCTTCATGCATGAGACAATACTCCAATCCGTACATTTCCTCTCCAATAGCATTGCTGTTTTCAAGACTCTACTTCAAACTTTTTCTTATCCATGAGCTGGTATTTTATTTTCAACTTTCAACTTAAAGAAAAAAAAAAATAAACTCGTATCCTTTGAAGTTGTAAAAATTTCACTAATCATTTACTTGCAATGGACTCTTCTATTGGCCTCTTAGTGCTAGTAAGTGAATCCAATATGATGAGTGCCCTCTTTTGTAAAACATTTTATGACATCCTGTGTACTTCTGTATGACCCCTGCTGACCCTGTATGATTTGCACCGTCTTATTAATTTTAATAATGTTGTTACTTTCTAGAAAATGATTGTGTTGATGGCAATGTCGGACCAAATATTTCAGACAAAAATGACATTAAGAATCAACCGTACCATCCTGCTCTGAGTTATACTGTCTCTGACAAAGGTCCTATCAGGCACTCGTTTCCTGTGAACAATTTTAACAGAATTTCAGACCCACCTCCAACCCATAGGTAAATCAAGTCATTTTTTGTCAATATTCTGTCATTTTAAATTTCAAGATTTCAGGTCATTCAGTCAGGCTTGAAAAGCTGGGGAACAAAGCACCTCATTGCTGTAATTTGTTTGGTTTTTACTTTTACAACCCACCTCTTTTAACAATATATCCTCTTTAACAATACATCCTCAAAAAAACTAAAAAAGCACATCATCACCTTTGCATTTGCTGTATTTGAGTACTGGAAAAATTTGCAAGTTTACCGCACTACTCCTAAGTTGAAAAATGAGCTGCAGAGAAACCAATGTTAAGTACATCCTAATGTGGAAACGCTATTTATAAATATTTTTAAAATCTGAAATAAAGGTGTTTCCACAGGACAGTAAGAAGCTAAGGATTTTTGATACCGAATTTTTAATTTTTAAAAAAGATAAAAAAACAACCCATCCTGTCCTCTATCGTCAAGTTGCCCTTTTTGCACACAGAGTACAGTCTCATTACATACTGAATATTAAACTCAGATCTCCGCCCTTACTTCCTTTTATTGACAGAGAAATTTGTATGATGTTCCAGGCATTTGGATTATAATTATTCATGTACACCATCATTACAGCAGCACTACACCAATGACTCTCGTGAGAAACACATGAAGAGTAGTGTCGGAGGACATGTCAGTAGGGATCAAGGTAAGCAGAGTTTTCATCTTTTTCATTTCGTTAACGCCCAATTTTTTTCTCTTTATTCCTGAAAGTCAATTTTAAGGCAATAGAAGTGTTGTCAGCTAAGTAAGCAATTGTTTTTTTTGTTAGTCTTGTGCAGTAGACCAATTTAAATCTCTGTGCACGGTGGCAGCGTTGTTTGCGATCAAGCCGCGGTCAATCCTTGATCTCTATTGGACAACTGCATCACGGTCTCTTCCTAACTTTAGTTTTATTTTTTCAAAAGAAGTCAGAGATTTCTACAGAGCTGGAAATCTGGAAAACTTAAAATTGTCAGGGAACTTAATCAGGTCAGGAAGATCAAGGAATTCCATGAAAAAGATTTGGAAAGTCTTAAGAAACACCAGTGCTATTCTGATTAAACTGAGTCTCAGGCTTCGGGCCGATTATTGAAAGTTTAAAGCAGCCCGATAAGACATCGAAATGCGATATATTGCGTGGTTAAGATAGGGCTATGTCTTGTCTTATCGTGCTGACATGGTTTCAATAATCACCCCTCAGGTCTGGTTAGAGGTTCAATGCTCAGAGTTAACTTTGAATTGTGAACAGAGCAATGAGTTCCAATAAAAAATTGCAATTTTAGTTAATTACTTTTTTCGGGTTCTCCTTGCATGGTTCGTTTGAACCAAAGTTAAATGAATAGTCGATGCACTCATGATTTCTCTTCAGAACCTTGAAGTATGATGTAAATACATTACTTTAAGACCAAAACGAAAATATTCTGTCGAGCTCTCGGAAAATAAGACCGATCTAAAGGTTTTTAGCCCTGAATCGGCTGAAAATTGCTGATTACGGAGCAAATATCCAATAATTATGGCTGTACTCTTGGTTTTTTGAAGTTGTGGGGGCATCGAGGGTAGGAAAAGGCCTTTTTCTTCCCTCAACCCCCCCCCCCCCCCCCCCCCCCCCCCCCCCCCCCCCCCCCCCCCCCCCCCCCCCCCCCCCCCCCCCCCCCCCCCCCCCCCCCCCCCCACC